GGGTGTTGCAATCGCGGGGGATGTTGTCATAGAGGGCCAGCACGGGACAAGCAGTACCGTATTTTGCTCAGACAGTCCACTGCCCCCATCAAGCCTCTAACCTCCCCGTCAGAGACAAAAGACCTCGAGAAGGAATTGTGTTTACCTGGTGCAGCACTGCTTGAGCGAGCTGAACCGCCAAACCCCATTAAGAAGTGTTCGCAATTTCGTCACTTGTATCTGGCATAAAGCATCCGGAGGTGGGAGGGCTTTTTTCGTTGGTTGGGTGGCTGTGGCAATAACCGTAATTTCAGATATCGCAGAGTCTTGGATGGTACAACCGCCACTCTGTGCTTGCCTTTACTGTGCTTGTAGGTTAGCTGCAGTACTCGGGTAAAGCACTATAACCGGGAAACTTACCGTGAGACTAGAGCTATGATAAAACCGGGAGTGGCGGTTGCCTCACCCAAGACTCTTCTTATCTTCCAGATATCGGTTCCATACCGGTAATCGCACTCGGGTCCGGTAGAAAACGGCGGGAAAAAAATCAGCAAGATCATGTAGGGGTATGATATCAACAGGCCAATCTACTCACTTATGCCCCCCCCAAAATCACCATTCCAAAAGCCCAGATTCCTTATCTTTCAGTCTTAATCTGCCCTTATAATCTGGGTAAAATCCATGGGTTCAGAATCATGAACGATCACTTGGTGCAATTACTCTGTTTAATGACAACATATAACACACTCTTTTTTTTGTCTCTAAATCCCGAGAACACCGGTACTGTGCTGCTGATAGTATAGGTAACTCGTCAGCTGGAGCCTATCACAGTCTAGCTCTATTGCTTATCTCATAGTAGATTCCCCGAGTAAATAAGGTACAGTATCCGAATACGGGAGCTGAAGGCATGCAGGGAAAATCATCCGTGCTTGTTTCTGCACGAAAACCAGATCTTCGGGTAAAGTGCCGTACTTGCTAGCGAATGTGGGAGATCGGACCATGGGGGATCCCCTATCCCGGGCCACAAGCGCCCGAAAATGGGGGTTTGCAAAGGTACGGTATCATACATGGCAAAAAATCTGCTCCTCCCTAAGCGCCAATTCAAAATATATCTCCCCTTTTCTTCAGGTACTTACCTCCTGGGGCAGGTATGTGGCTAATCATCTGTACTTGAGTACGAGTACTCGAGTACAACTCTGAGCACAGCAGATTTCGTGCCCAATGTTTCGGTACTACTTGCCTACCACTTGTACCTAAATTACCCCGTTTAAATCATCCATGTCGGATCACTGATACAGTAAAGGCCGCTGAAGCTCACTATCATACCAAATTATCAGCGGGAACCAGCCTGTCAGACCACAATAGGGTTAGTCCGACTAGTTATGATACAGGAACTGCGAATGCAAGTATGATACTCGAGTACAATATCATACCATACCTGCCACACCGGGGATCCAACACACCCGGTTGGCTAACCTTATGCCCTGTCAGGAAAACGCTAATCCTTCTCAGTACGATGTCATACCTTATGATATATTGCAAAAAAAAAAGAACCCTAAGGTCCACTATCTCCACGAGCCCCATAATCTCCGGGAGAGGGGATAAGAAGCACTATCATATCATACTTGGGTCGGGTGAGGTTACCCTATCATATCTACGGTATCATAATAATATTATTATGTTCGCCAATGTGATATGATATGGTATGATACATCAACTCTTGTCGAAGGGCGCCAGTTGGTATGATACAAGTATGATGTTGCCTCCTCCCCCACACCCTGCTTCCCTTGTTGGCACCTTCTTATGTATCACATCGGTAATTCCATATAGCCAGCTGAACCTTGAAATCACACGTGGTTCAAGACTTCTATTGTGCATGCCGAGGTAGTCGCAGGTGGGAGATGCCTCGGCATTCAGCCACAAATTCAAATAAATTAGTAATCTCGTGCGCTCAATTCCCCAGCAATGAACGGCTTCTTCCGTCGTTATCAAGCTACACCTATACACATAATAGCCAGAGCCAACATAACTTATTTTATATTTTGGAAGAAAAAGAAGGAAACACTGATAACGAAGAAGCGATTGTGAACGGCCAAAACAGAATAATGAAGATAGACATAACTGGAATAGCACTCCTACTTTGTCGTTTCCGTCATTTACCCCACATAACAATAAAACTGTGGCCTGGTAAATATAGTAAAAGCTATGACGTGAACAAGAATTGGACATATCATAGCTACCCGTTTTCGGGTGCCGGGGCGTCCTCCGTTGCAATTACTTTTTCGCACGGAGCAGACGTCTGTCTACGAGTACTCCTCCATCTATAACCTTTTCACTGTTTCTCCACCTTCAATATTTGCGGCCCATATTCCCCAGGAAGTCATTTA